CCAGAGAGCTAGGATCAGAGCAGTAAAGGAGGTGCTAAGGGAGCATGAATGTGGTTCCAGAAAGGAGCAGAGTGGTTTCTGCACAGGGATGCCCACCCTCCCCCTCAAGCCAAACCTGAGGCACGGGCATGGGAGGCCTCCTAGGTGCCCTCTCTGCTTATCCTTCTGGTTCTCTGCCCTGTGGGGAAAGACTTGGCCCCAGGAGTGTGAATGTGCTCATCCTTCTCGGATGAGGGCAGGGCAGGGCAGGGCAGAGGTTGGGGAAAAGCAGATGGAGGGGGCAGTGTCTGATTTGGGCCTCTAGGTTTAAGTATTAACAAGAGACCTCATCTCACCCTGGAGGAGGTGCTCCCTGAGAGTAGTGAGGATGGTCAACTGTGTTCCCCCACACTGCACCCTCCTTTATGGGCAAAGGTGGGGATGAGAAAAGCTTAACTCCATAAGTAAGAAGTAAGGAGAAGTGGAGGAATAAAGAGGCCTCTGATTTCCTTTTTTTTTTTTCCAAGCCAAAGACAAAGGTGGGGCTGAGCTTCTACTTCTGGCTTCCTGCTGGAATGTGGAAATTCTAGTCCAGGAGTCCAATCGATAGTGCCCCATCATCAGCCTCCTCTCCAACTTGCAGCCAAGACCTAGGCAGGTCCAGCGTCTCTCCTCTGAACCAATGATAAGTTTCTTCCCTGAGCTCCCTGCTTCTTTTCTCTCATCTTTTCCCAGCCTCTTCCTACAGCAAGATGGTTCTGTCACTCTCCTGTTTAAAACTCTTTAGTGGTTCCAAGAGCTATTGGGTAAATCCCAAGCTCCCGTGTTCTGCAAGGTCTTGTACAGTGAATTCCACCAGGCAGGTATTGTGTTTGCTTGTTCACCAGGGTCCCCCAGAACCTGGTGAAGGATTGCTGGAAGAATAAATTGATGCCTAGTCTGGCTACTGCCAGCCTCTCTGGCTGCATCTGCCCATATGCTCTACAGTCCTCATGTGCTCCACAATCATGTGTTCATTCAACTCCCAGAGGATTTCTGGTGTACCCAGATCGGTGAGGACACTAGACATTCAGAGGAAAATCAGGTTTCACATGCTCTTCTCTGAAGAAACTTATGGAGCCATTGTGTTTCTCACCAAGAAATTGGAGAACACCAAGATGAATCTCAAAAATTTGTTGAATGAAAGAAGCTAAATGCAAATAATAGACATTGTGCAACTTCATCGATAAGACGGTCAAGAGCAGTTGCCTCTGGGGAATACAAGGTACAAGGTAGTTTTCTGGGATTGTATAAATGTCCTGGGCCTTTATCTGCATTAATAAATATCTACATTTCTTGAAATGTTTTGAGCTGTACAGTTAAATCTGTGAATGTTACTGAATATAAGTTATACCTCAATAGCATACTACCAGCATAAAAAGTAATGTCCATATAAATATAACAATAACAAAAAAAGCCCTCAGTATCGATGAAACAGCCCATTAGATATAATCAAAGAGAGAATTATTAAAGTAGAAGACAGAACTGAAGAGTTACCTGGATTGCATTATAGAGACACAAAGAATGGCAAACATGGAAGAGAGTTTAAAAGACATGGAGGACAGAATGAAAAGGTCTAGCATACTTCTAATCAGAGATTCCAAAGGAGAGAACACAAAGAATGGAGGAAAAAGAATATTTGAAGAGATATTGGCTAAGAATTTTCCCAAACTGATGAAAGATGCAAATTCATAGATACAGGAAATACAACATACTGAGCAGAATAGAAAGGAATCCATACCTAGATACTTTATAATAGAATTACAAAATGCCAATGGTATCCTAAAAGCAGGGAGAAAAGACAGATTACCTACAAAGGAATGACAATTAGACTAAACAGACTTATTTACAATATACATTATGCCTATTATATGCCTACAATGTCCCAGGTACTAAGAACACAAGATAAACAAGACAGACTCAACCCCTACACTGTAGAACCCACAATAAATCACTGACGACAGATATGGAGGGAGTGATTACAGTGTGATGAGCTGGATTGGTTGGAGGGCAAGAGAATTCACAAGAAAACCATACAGGTAGAACTGTGAACTATTAGGATTTTCTCATCAATGCTGGAAGATCCCACATGTTTACCAAGATGAGGTGGGCTTTTCTCTCCAAAGGACTCTGGGAATAGCAGCTGCTATGCTCATACATTCTTCCTTGGGATAGAAGGAGACAGATGAGCTGTCCAAGACTGGTGGCCTAGGTGTCCCTAGGACCCCTGAGGGAAAGGGAGAGGGCATGCTCTTCCTCAAAGCCTTCATCAAGGTCCTGGACTGTGTTCCTGAAGCCGTAGGCCAAGTAGAAGCATACAGAGCCCTGGGGTGAGCAAAGGCTACACTGGAGCAGGGGGGTTATGCCAGAAAAAGGCCAGGAAGTGCCAGTGCTGGGGAGGGGTGCCTTGATGCATCGAGTGCTGCCTTTGATCACCAAGACCAGGTACCAATCTGGGATGGGGCTGAGGAGCCACTCAGAAGCTCTGTCCCCACCCCCAATACACACACGCAAGACCTCCCAGATGTTCCACCCTGGGGAGCTCACCAAAAGGTTCTCTAAATTCAGACCTGAGAAAAAAACAATGGCTTCAATCTTGGATTCTGTCTGGGCTTGGGGCTGACTTTCTGCACCACTATTAACACCTCTCTGCCCTGGCTCCATTCCAAAGCACCCAGGAAGACAGACCTTCCTCCCTTAGAGTGTTAGGAAATTCTCCCTACTAAGGGACCAGGGCCTATGTTCTGTTTGGCCTTATCTTCCCAGTGCCTGGGTAGGATAGTTCCACCAGGTGCTTATTCACTTAAGGGGTGGGGTTCAGGTTGAGAAGGGTGAAGGATTTGGCAAGAGGGGCTGGGGTAGGGGGGACATGACACAGAGGAGAAAGTCTGGGAAGGGGTGAAAAGTTTTTAGAGAAAGCTGGAAAGAGGCTGAAAAAGTGGAGAGAGGGGGTGAAGGAGGGCGTGCACAGGACAGAGGAAGGGAGGTTGCTCAGGGTCTGGCAAGGCGAGGGGAGAGACCCGTCAACCGCCCTCGCAATCCTCACCTTGTCCTACTAGGGAACTGGGGGCGCAGAGGCTGGCCAGCCAGGGCCAGTTGCCAGGTCCCCGCCCTCTGTGTCTTCGGGTCCCGCCCTTCTCGGGATTTAGTCCTGGCTGCCTGGGCGGCCTGTAGCCGCTGCTTCCGCTTTCGCCAGGTGAGGGTCCTGGAAAGGAGGGGGAGCCTCGGGCTGGAGTTGGCAGAGCTGGCAGAGCAGCCGGCTGTCAGTGCTCTGGGTGGTCTGCCTGTGTGTTTGGAGCCTGCCAGCCTCCCTTCCCCTCTCCGGGCGGTCCTTCTCCCCTGTCCTTCCCCTCTTCTCCTCGATCCTTCCCTTCTGTGGCCGCGTTTCCTCTTGTTCCCCCTCTGATGCTTTCTTCTTCTCACCTTGCAATAGGTCCCCGTTTCCAAGAGTCGAGGGCTTTATACTCCCTCCGGCCCTGCTCATGCCCAATTCCTAGCCATTCTCCGGGTTCACATCTGGGCCCAGCCTGGGGCCCTCTGATTCCTTCCGGCTTAACTAAGTGTGTGTGTGTGTGTGTGTGTGTGTGTGTGTGTGTGTGTGTGTCCAGTAGTGTGTAAGGAAGAGTTTGTTTGTGCTGGCAGCCAGCACCCAGAGCACCTAGAGCTTTATTTTGTTATTTTGTGAAGGTTGGTGGAGTCAGCTTGAAGCTAAGTTAAACTGAGTGACTCAGGTGTGCAGGCAGGTCTCTTCCATACCTGGAGCTGAGCTCAGGTGGTTGTGGAAGGGACTCTGCACCTGGGAGCCTGGATTCCTCTGTAGGCAATACCTGAGTTTAGATCACAAACACCCGATTTCAAAGATTGTTGTCTTATGTGTAGAAGAGGCAATGACATGAATGTCTCTGGGCTGAGGGGGCCAGTATGCCTGTAGAACTCAGGTTATCTGTGGACACTGTACCTTGATGTCTTGCATATTGTGTGTTTATGTGGACCTTAGTGTCTCAGATGTGTGGGGTGGTGTTATCTTGGAAGTAGTGAAGTGCCCTGTCTCAAGTATATGTATGTGAGAGGGTATGTGGCAGTTAGCCTGGGTGTTTTATGGCAGCATACTAGAACATCTCATGTATCTGGGTGTCTTTGGCATCTTTGGCAACTTTTGTAACATATCTGTAGGTCTCGTGTGTGTGTGTGTGTCTGTGTGTGTGTGTGTGTGTATAGCAGTCTATCTGGGTGTGGGAGGCAGTGTACCTTCATGTGTGTGCATGCATGTGTATGAGTACCTGCATGTCTGAGATATGGTATGGTTAGCACATCTGGGCATCTCTAGTGTGTATGTGGTAGGTCAAAATGTCTCATGTGTATGAAGTGTCTCAGATGTATGAGTGAATATGTGCAGTGTCTGCAGTGTCTCTGGGTGTCCTAGGGGTATAGGAGCACTGTGCCATAATATCCCAAGAGTGAGCAGGGCAACATGCCTGAAGTCTTCAGTGCTAAAATCTCAAGCATGAGGAGGGTAGGTTTCTCAGTGGTGAGGAGGGTAGAGGACCTCAGTCTTGAGCATTGGGAGCATTATTTCCGGGGTTTGTGTGTGTAAGTGGCAGGATACCTGGCTGACTCTAATTCGTCTCTCCTTCTGTACCTGAGTATTTCTGATGGGTTGAGGGTGGAGCTGGCAACTATTCCTCTCGTGTCTGAGGGTCTCAGGTGCCTACCCTGGACTATGAGTCTGGAGGAGAGTGTGCCATCCTTAGGAGTTCCTTCTCCAGACATGCTCCCAGAGGCAAGCTCCCTGTGGCTGCTGAGGTTACTCCGGGACATCCAGCTGGCCCAGTTTTACCGACCCATCCTTGAGGAGCTGAATGTTACTCGACCAGAGCACTTTGAGTTTGTAAGACCTGAGGACCTGGACAGCATTGGCATGGGCCGCCCTGGTGAGGGACCCCTGCCCTGAGTGAGGCCCTGGTCTCTTCTTCCCCAACCTGTTAGTTGCAAGCCCCCTTCCTCTCCTCCCCCCGTCAGCCCTCTTCTTGCCTGTAAATCCCTTGCATCATATAACCCCACCCCCCCCCACCTCCCATACAACCCCAGCCCTCTAATTCTGGCCTTCCCCAGCCCAGCGCAGACTAGCTGAGGCTCTGAAGAGGCATCGTTCAGGGCACAAGCCTAAGAACTGGGTCTACAAGGTACGTGTTTTGGGGTGGGGATGAGAGGCTTAAAGGGCAGCTTAGACTCGGAAATGGGGAGGGCTGAGTGGCAGGGATGGGTATGTAGGGTTCCACACACCTGATTTCCCACCCTTGTTTCAGATCCTTGGGGGTTTTGTCCCTGAGCAGGAGACCACCCCATCCTCAGACAGTCCTCAGTCCCTCCCTGAGCCAGAGGGGGGACTCAAGTGTCTGATCCCAGATGGTGCTGTGTGCAGAGGGGAGCTGCTGGGCTCCGGCTGCTTTGGTGTGGTGCACCGAGGACTGTGGACATTGCCCAGTGGCCAGAGTGTGAGTACCCAGGGAACCTACTTCATTCTGGTTACCTAGCCAGCTGCCGCCTCTGTGTTCTGCTGCCCTCTCTGCTCTGGCCCTGGCATAGCTGTTCCCTAGGGTGCCTGATGGTGCCTCCCCCACCCCCAGGTCTCAGTGGCTGTCAAGTCTCTCCGGGTGGCTCCCGAAGGCGCTGTGGGCACAGAGCTGGGGGACTTTCTGCGAGAGGTGTCTGTCATGATGAACTTGGAGCACCCACACTTGCTGCGTCTGCATGGGCTCGTACTGGGCCAGCCTCTGCAGATGGTGAGCATACCCAGACACTGGCTCCTGGGACAGTCCCGGGGCTGAAGTGCGACAGGAGGATGGGAGGCCAGAGTTCCATGAGGCCAGACTACCCTTCACCAGGCGCTGTTCCCTCCGCAGGTGATGGAGCTGGCGCCGCTGGGCTCTCTGCACGCGCGCCTAACCGCGCCAGCCCCTACACCCCCGCTGCCCGTGGCCCTGCTCTGTCTCTTCCTGCGGCAGTTGGCGGGGGCCATGGTGTACCTGGGGGCCCGGGGGCTGGTGCACCGCGACCTCGCTACGCGCAACCTGCTGCTGGCTTCACCGCGCATGATCAAGGTGGCCGACTTCGGGTTGGTGCGGCCGCTGGGCGGTGCCCGGGGCCGCTACGTCATGGGCGGGCCCCGCCCCATCCCCTACGCCTGGTGAGAGGCGGAAACGTGTGGGTTGGTCTCCGAGCCCCGGCGGGCTAGAGGGTGAGGCTCTGGAGGGCGGGAGAAGCTAACGGCGGTGTGGAGGGAACTGGTCCTCTGACGGAGGCTGGGCCCAGAGGAGTCAGCAGGTCTGGAAGGGCTTGGAAAGGAGAACTTTTGAGGACGATGGAAGGAACGCGGGCTATGCTCAGTGACAGGTGAGAGTTCTGAGGGGCAGATATCCAGCCTCCTGTCTCTACTTCTGCAGGTGTGCGCCAGAGAGCCTGCGCCAGGGGGCCTTCTCTTCTGCGTCAGACGTGTGGATGTTTGGGGTGACGCTATGGGAGATGTTCTCCGGGGGCGAGGAGCCCTGGTCCGGGGTCCCGCCGTACCTCATCCTGCAGCGGCTGGAGAAGGACCAGGCCCGGCTGCCTAGGCCTCCCCTCTGCTCAAGGGCCCTCTATGCCCTCGCCTTGCGCTGCTGGGCTCCCCACCCTGCTGACAGGCCTAGCTTCTCCTACCTGGAGGAGTTGCTGCAAGAGGTGGGAACCGTTTCCTCCCCAAATACACTCAGTCTCTCTTCCCTCCATTCTCTCTCCCAGGGTTCCATGCACTAGACTAACAAATACTGACTCCTGGGCTGGGGTATGGGACCACGTTCTGAACAAAACAGATTCATTCTCTTCCTGCAGAGTGCTAAGAGCCCTGGGGAGGCACCTTGGGGCTACATAGATGCAGGCCAAAGGGTTGGGGGCCGGGGCTGGGCCAGAGAAGGGGGAGCACAGTAGGTTGCAGTGAGTATTTGACAGAGGAAAGGTTCAGCATGGGAGGAGGGAGTACAAGCAACTAAGACAGTGGAGGTGTTCAGAGCTGCTCCACGGAGAGATTTGTAAGGCATGATAATCAGAGCTAACATATAGAGCACTTGATCTGTGTAAGATTCTGTACTAAGTGCCTTACATGTATCCTTATGCGTGTTCACTCATTAAATACAACAACCCAGTGAGGTCATTGTTTTCTTGATTTTACAGATGAGGCAGTTAAGGTATTGACAGTTTAAGTGACTTGCCTAAAGTCACACTGAGAGGTGTTGAGATCTGAACCAGTCAGTCTAACTTTAGATCTATTCCCTAAATCACTATATTCTACTATTAAAGGAGTTTAGTCTTTACTGAGGGCACCTGGGAGCCATGGTAGAGTTTTGATTAGGGAAGTTACAAGCCTACTTTACATATCATATCACTCTGGCTTGGTACAGGAATGGATTAGAGCAGGGATCCCCAACCCCTGGGCCGCGGACCAGTACCTGTCCGTGGCCTGTTAGGAACTGCGCTGACAGCAGGGGGTGAGTGGCAAGCAAGCAAAGCTTCATCTGTATTTGCAGCCACTCCCCAGCGCTAGCATCACCGCTTCAGCTCCACTTCAGATCATCAGGCATTAGATTCTTATAGAAGCACCAGTCCCTGGTGCCAAAAAGGTTGGGGACTGCTGGATTAGAGGGATGATACTAAAGATAGGAAGATCAGATAGGTGACAATGGCTGTAAAGCAGAAGTGAGATGAATAAGGGTCAAGACAGTGGGGCTGAAGAGAAATGGAAAATTTCTAGAGGTGCTTGGGAGGCAGACATGATGGGCCCGAGTGTGGAATAAAAGCAGCATACCGGATGACATTCCCCTTGATCTCTCTAGGTAGAGACAGGCCTCACTTTGTTGCTCCCTGACCCCTGGGCTGTATCCAGCTTGACATGGCATCCAGCTCTGCCTCCCCCACTGGACTACACTTGGGAGACAGGGACAGTCCCATTTCAGGCCCAGGACAGAGGACACACCTAGCATAGGTTTGATTGGTTGGTGTATAAACAGAGAGGAATCTCCTTTCTTCCCTGCTCCCATGATACCCTTCTGACTCAGGCCACAAGCCCAGCCATACTTTCCTCCTGTCTCTATAGGCCTGGCCTTCTGAGGGACGTTGTGTGAGGGATGTCACAGAGCCAGGCGCACTGAGGATGGAGCCTGGTGATCCCATCACTATCATCGAGGGCAGGTGAGGGCCTCATGTCTCCTACACATCCCCAGGAAGAAGACTACCTCTCAACCTGCCTGATCCGGGTCCCTTTTCTGCTTCTCCCCAGCTCCTTGAACCCTGATCCTCTACTTCATTTCCTCCTCTCCCCACTGGGCCCTGAGAGCTCCACTACAGTCCTGGCCTCCCTGATGGAGCCACCACAGCCTATAGAGCCCTTTTGTGTTAGGGAGAAACAGGCTTTCCTTCCTCCAGACAAATGTAGCTCCATGGCACACAACTTGTGACCTGAATGCAGCAGGAGCCCAGCCCCCACGTGCTCTCATCCCCTTCACCAGTGCCTCTTCCCACAACCCCAGCTCTACAACCTGGAAGGGCCAGAATGGTCGCACATTCAAAGTGGGCAGCTTCCCAGCCTCCGCAGTGATATTGGCAGACATGAGGGGCTCACCAGCCACCCGTCCAGTCCACAGAGGCTCCCCTGCCCGGGTAGAGCAACACTGCCGTGGAAGCATAGATGGGTGAGGACCTGAAAGCGGGGATAGAGCTGGGCTGGGGGAACCAACCAAGTTCAGCAACTACTCTGGAAGGGAAGCCTGGGGAGGGGCCAGAGTGAAGCTGGACGGGAGGCCGGACTTGCCTTCCAGATGGAGCTTCCGTTCTGGGTCTCATTCAGTCCTGGAGCCCCAGAGATTCCTTGAGCAGGGACATTGATATGTGGGGTGGGGCTCTGTCTCTAACAGGGACAGAGTAAAGGCAAAGCTTCGGGAACTACCTCCAGCACGGGGTCAGAGAAGGAATGTGCCCCTGCAGAGAATAAAAGGTGAGTGTGGTTGGAGGCAGGGCCCCCAGGGTCTCTGAGATCAAGAACAGCCCTCCAATTGTGCCCCCTCCTCTAAATCCGTGCCTTTGCATATGTGATTTTCCCACATACAATTTCCTTCCCCTACATCATTCTGCCTGTTGACAATCCAGCTGTACTTCCCCACTGCAGCCCCTGAACTCTTAGTTCTTTTGTTCTTCAGCTGCCTAGGCCTGCATGTCTGTTCTGCACATCTCTCTTATTGTTGCACCTAACAACAGCACAGATAGAGAATGGGAAGCAGGCAGGATCCAGCATCTGAGCTTCCTCTCAAGTTGTTTCTTTCTCAACTGTGCAGGCATTTCCAAGAGTCTGGAATCTGTTCTGTCTCTCGGCCCCTGCCCCACAGGGGGTGGTTCAAGCCCCCCTGAACTTCGACATGCCAGAGCTGTACCCCAGGGACCTCCAGGCCTGCGACCCTGCCCACCCTTTGCTTCCAACTCTTCTCAGCCCAGCCAGCCTCCCAGGGAGCGGCATCCCTGGCCCAAAAGAGAACCCCAGCATAATCACCCCATGGGTACACCTGGAGCCAGCAAAGCCACCGTCCACTCTGGAGGCCTCTTGCCTGACTCTGAGTTGCAGAGGAGGGTTATGGAGGTAAGGTTTCCCTGAAGTGGCCTGTTGTCCAGAAGGGGCTACAGGTTGGGGTAGGAGCCTAAGAGAGACTGTCCCCTGCAGGTGGAGCTAAGCGTGCATGGAGTCACCCACCAAGAGTGCCAGGTGGCACTAAGAGCCACTGGGGGAGATGTGGTTTCTGCCATCCAGCACCTCAAGGTAAAACCAGACCCTTCTCTTGGGTTCCCACATCTCCTGTCCCTCCCCTCTGGTAGTCAGTTACTCTCTCTCCTGCTTCCACAGGTAGACCAGCTCTTCCACCTGAGTAGCCGGTCCAGAGCTGACTGCCGGCGCATCTTGGAACATTACCAGTGGGACCTTTCAGCGGCCAGTCGCTATGTCTTGGCCCAGCCCTGAGCTCTGCTCTCTTGGGCATGAACACCAGCATGCACCAAGGGCCTGACCATGTGGAACTAAGAACTAGAACAAGGTCCTGACAGGGCGGACTTTCCTACATGAAGAGACCCTGCTATAGGCAGGTACAAGAGGAGCCCAAGGTCAAGCACTAATGAGTATCTCCCTTTGGCCTCTGAGGGCTTGAGCTCCCTTGGCTGGATAATGGAAGGATCTAGTCCATTCTAGTCCATTCTGCCCACATTTCCAACCAAGAGGACTTGAAGGAACAGAGCTGCTACACATCACATCCACAGAAAGCTTTTGCTCTTACAGAGAATGATCTAGTGGCCATACTGGACCATGGGAACAGCCATCCTGAACTGCCGTTAGCTACCACACTGGTCTCTGTGGGGACAGCCATCTTGGATGATGGAAGCAGCCACACTGGCTTGGGGCACATGGTCTAAACTACCTTGGCTTGGGCCGGGGCCATCATGGGTGATGAACGTTGCTTTCTTAGATGCAAGGACACTTGATCCTGGCAGCATGGATTATGAGACGGGCCAGCCCCTGCCCAGCCCAGCCGTCATATTTCCCTTTGTTTCTTCTCACACCAACTCTTCCTACTACCCTCTCCCATTACATACATCTTCTAATATCCAAAAAGTTACAAAGTTTATATGAATATAACATACAAAGATGCAGCCTCCTTTGTAGGGTCAGAGAAGGAAGGAAGGGAGGGGTAGTTAAGTAAGGCACAGGAAGCTGCAGCAAGCACCAGCTATGTGCAGGGCCCAGTGGGGAAAGAAAGCTGGCACTGGGACCTAGGCCCTAGAGGAAATAGGAATCCCCTCCAAGTGCCATGGTCTGAGGCTGAAGTAATTGGCCAAGCTGATGTGCGGAAGGGTGGCTATATCTGCCATCTTTGGGGCTGCTCACTCTTACCCACCCCAGCTCAGTTGTAAAGCCCCAGAGCCCTGGATTCCAAAGGCCTCATCCAGAGCAGAGACCCTGGGGGAGGTGGGAGGAAG